CGGTCCCGCTCCCCCTCCTCTTCACTCGCATTTTCTCTTTTCTTTTTGGCCTCTACCTCTCAATGCATTTCACACAGTTGGCCTCTCTCCACGTCGCTCGTTTGTTTGCCGTTTCCATATCCAATGTTGTACCCCTCTCCCGGTGCTTTCCACATTCTGGAGGACTGAAGAGGACAATACGACAGAGGAGTGATGGTATCAAAAGGATGAGTGGGCTTACAGTACACACGACTGCCGAAAGGAGCGGCTATGTGGGCGTTCTTTTGTTCCCCGCCTAGAGAGAGAGACCAAGAGAGAGAGAGAGAGAGAGAGAGAGAGAATGTGTGTCGGCCTCCCTATAATTATGATTGTGTGGGAAGACTGTTTTGGTATGCTGGCAGTTGTATCTGCATGCAAAAGCTCACCTAATTTCAAGGGCCTGGATTATGAGTAAGAGTGCATGCTTGGAAACCTTATAGAGATGGAAAGAATTTGTGTGTGTGTGTGTGTGTGGCTGCCTCTGTATTTGATCCCTGCATTTGAACTACTAGAGCTTGTGTGTATTTCCCCATCAAACAGTACGGTGGGCCAAAATATGTTGTTTCAATTCCATTCATTCCTGCTCACAAACGTTTTGCACACCAAGTAGTCAAACATTAACTCCTTCATGGCGCTGCAGCGACGGGTTTGACGGAGGCCGTGATGCATTATGCCTCTTCCAGCCCCGATCACATCGGTGGATTACTGCGCTTGTGATGAGTGGCTTTTGAGAGCTAATGCAAATCCCCTGGTTTATAAACAGTGCAACATACCCTAAGTCGATTTAAGTCGATTACGGCTAATGGCATTTGCACGTGGCGGATAAGATGCAAAAACACGTACGCCAATATACAGATGTGGGAATGTCCATGCATGCACGCACGCACGCACACTATTTATTGCCATCGCTGTGGCTGGCAATTAAGAGGGCCCTGACATTTGTAATGGTGCACTACAAATTACAGGCGTAGACCCAATAGAAGAAGCAGCCCCCGAGTGCAGCAGGTCTTTCACGTACAAATAAAAAAAATATACTTTCAATCAGTCACACCTGAAGCGTCTATTAATTGCATAGGTGGGAGTTTACAAAAAGGTACACCGTTAATATCTATTCATTTTTCTGAAGCCATTTAGCAGAAACATATTTAGCGGGGCTTGGACTTAAGGGGAGGACCAGGCAGGTCCAGTCCTGCAGCCCCCCTCCCCGACCTGCTCCAACACAGGGGCCCCACTGAGATGCTTTTAGCTTGTGTTCTCACTGTCGCTCCAAACCGAGCGTTTCTTGTTCTCTGGAGGGTGGACGCGGGGCAGCGAGGCAGGCAGTTTCCCAAAATAGAAGGTGCAAAGAAACTATAAAATACCAGCGGTAGCCAGCACATGTATGCAGTAACCCCTAACACACACATGCAACACATACATCCAGCCGAATGCACAAATATCATTATGTGACAGGATTTTCTCAGACTCTCACACACTTTTGGGAGTTATAATTTATATTTCTCTTTTATGTCGGCCATCTGTCCTATCTTCCTTTGTGAATTGTCTCTAACGTTATCATCATCATCATCATTAGTCAAACTCGATACCAAAGGATTTTTGGCCTAATTGCAGTGTGTGTGCGCGTGTATGGATTGCCTTTCATTGCAAATTCAGCAGCAAATTCTCGAGAGGAAGTGGAGGCTTCTTAAGTGCAGGATGAAGCCACATCAATGTACACACAGGACATTTACGCACATAGCAAAGCATGGTGAAACGAACCATATAGAACAAACCGCTGATTTGGTTAACTCACCAAAACTGTACTGCACCTGTATTCTGCATCGGTGCAATGTGGAAGGTAACTCAAGCGTAGAACAACTCTCAAAACTACACAAGCACTATGATCTTTACCTGTGGTGTGGTAGAGAAGAACATTTCAAATAAACCAACATGTAGTAGTTTTGTCCAATATTTGCCATATAAAATAGTCCGTAATAAACAGTCATCTAAAATTAGGTGGATTTGCACATTTCCACTGTTTGATATAATGGCAAACTGGATATTCCAAAGCAATTCGAGGACATAAACTTTTCCTTGTTTTACATTTTATAAGATGAAAGAATGAGAACGACCAAAGCATTCATTTACACATTCAATTTGAAAAATGTATATTTAATATTGAGTCATCTACTACTGTAGATATCGGTGTCAACTCCTCTTGAATATATTTCCATAAAACAAGCGGATTCACATTTTCTTTTTCCACATTATTAAATGTGCTGGTGTACACTAGATTGTATCGGAAGCTACTGCAATTGCTAAGCAGCGAACAAGTCCGTACGTACCACCTCCAAACAAGTGAATGCACACAGCCAAACAAATACACCTGTACGAATCAATTACTCGTATTGTTGCCACCTTTAGATGGGAAAGGGACAGGAAAACAATAGAAAGACTGCATGGGAGACAATGTTTAGAGAAGAGAAAGCGCGGACAGGAGGAGCGTAAATGAATGGGACAGGGTGCTATCCATCTCTCTGGGTCAGATCGATCACCAAGTGGATGGATTGGTTACACACAACCAGTGTGTGAGAGAGTGTGTGTGTGTGTTTGTGATCGTGTTAGAGAGCGTCGGTACTGCATTGCTCCAGTTGCAAATGAGATTGACTCCCTAAGAACGGGAGAGCTAGAGACTAAGGGGGGAGGGAGATGAAAGGGCAAAGAAGAACAAGGGGGTCTGTGATGGGGCAGAGCACGGCAGAAGAACAAAAACTTGAATGTAGCACAAATGACCACGCACGTGTGCGTGTGTGTGCATAGCTTGCAATTAAGTAAGAGGAACAGGAGAGGCGAAGAGACATGGATGAAAGCAGAGTCAGCAAACGAGAGACAAGGAAACAAACAAACAGAAGAAGAGGTATCGGGGGACAGGAAGGGGGGGGGGGGGGGTGTTAGAGCTGGATGAAAAAGGTGGGGAGGTAGAGCTGTGACTGATAACATTGTTGTGCTAAGGTTGCCTCAAGGGCAGACAAGACAAAGAGAGGAGGAGGAAGAGAGACAAAGAAAAAAACAAATTTACAGAGCAGCCGGAAGCGGAAAGGTTTGTGAGATGGAAGGTGAGCAAAGATGGAGGTAAGATGGAAACGTATAGAAAACCGTAGGAGGATGAGCAGGAGAGGCAGGTAAGAGTGGGGGAGGGGAGTTGGCAAGAGGTGCAGGAGGGAGCCAGAGGAAGTTATAGGAGCGCGAGAAGGCACGAGGGAAAGGAAAAGACGTGAGAAGGGGGGCCGGGGGGGCAGCGAGCAGCAGGTACGTATTGACAGTCAGCGAGCCACGGGCCAGACTGAGCCGTCTGAGGAGCGAGCATTAGCAGAGCAGTGGGGGTTGAGCTGGATCGGAGCGCCTGATCTTGGGGGATTTTTTTTCCTTGCTCATATTTTTCAGGGCCGCCGCAGAGTGGACACATTTCAAAGCAGCGTTTCACTTTCCCCGGAACATTTTCACATTTTAGTATGCACGACTCCACAGGAGCTCCGGAGCTGTCGACTTTCAACCTCGGCTGCCCTGGGGACTGGCTGTCACTGAGGGCATTCGTGACTTTGTTCCCCCCCCCCATACACCTCTCCCCACCCACATCCTCTCACTTTCCTGCTAATAGCAACTTTTTTGGAACAGAGGACACCAGAAATAAGTTGGCGCGTGTAGTGTGACCTCTTTGAGAAAGGTAACAACTTCCATTCATTAAGAGTTAAGTGGCAGAAATGGTCAACTACTGCAGTGTTTCCTTCACTCCATTAAGATCATATCAAATGGGAACCAAGTTGACCTTCTACCTCTCAAGCTTCCTACCTCTAACTAGCGAAAATATGAATACCTGAAAATATTGGCTAAAAACACGTCATGTCAGGCAGGTTTTTTTTGCAATGACATGATGTTTTAAAACTGGGACACGGTGGTGTCAAACAGTGCTCACATGCTGGATTTAGACCAATGCAAACCATGTGGGAGGGCGCAGAGTGCAAAATACTGTCCGGAACCCTTCCCCCGCGGCTTTAAATCCACACCGCTTCAATATGGGAGCGAAACATTCTTAAAACCCTCTTCTAGCTGCACGCAGAAAGGACAAAGCAAACACCTTAATGGGAAATATTGAGCCAGAAATGTGTCGACCCGTTAAGTCGCCATTATAGACAGTTGTGTCTCCACTACTCAAAGTATTGGGTTGCATACATTATACTGAACACCTCTATCCATCACCACGCCCGAGACTCGGCCCGTCCTTCTCCCCGGTGCGTCTGACTCACCGTCTCCTCTCCTCACGTGGCGGGGACTGTAATCAACACTCCCTGTCACTCTCTTCTGTATCCAGGTCACAGTTACTATGACAACTACTATATGTGCCAATCAGCGGCAGTGACTCATCTCTATACCTTACCAACGCTATTTAGGGGTCTGCGCGTGCGTTTGCTGCCTGTCCGGGGTTACAAGGGGAGCCTTCTGTGTGTCGTGCTTCACTGAGCCTGCGGATGTCCTCCCGCTGAAGAACGAAGGCCGCTCATCCAATTCTCCGACCCACAGTCTGATAATACAACACTAATCCTCTATTACAGGTTTCTAGGTAACGGTTTCTATGGGGACTGGCAGGGTTCAGTCCTTTGGCCTCTTGTTGCTGGGCAATACGTTGTAGTGGTGAAGAGGTTCTGGCGATAGTTAAGGGGTACAGCAAGAAAATGTTTGTTGCAGGTGCGTCCACCCCTGAATGCTGATTATTTAATGCTATGAGGCACTAAGTGGGCTTTAATGCGGAGTGGTACTCCCACACAAGGACACATGTGTAGAACAGGCCCTGGTTGCAGGTCAGTCTACTCAGAGTGGGTGGAAGGAAGAAAAGCAGACACAAAAACTCACTTCAGACATCTCTTAAAAAAAAACAATCTGACCAGGAAACAAGTCTTAAATCCATTTGAGTCTCTTGCGTTTTCTTCCCTCTTTATCTCCTCCAGGTCTGTGGATCGCCAGGCGTTCTACCATGCCTGTCCCCCCATCCTTCAATCCCCGCAGACAAAAACACCTGCCCCACAAACACCTCCACCCCGAACAGAGGGCAGCGCAGTCCCCCTCCCCCCCATCCATCCTCTCTTTTCTCCCCCCTCTCCTGGTCTCATCTCTGCCCTCCTCATCCCCCCTCGTGCACTGCGCCTGCCCCAGGACTACGAGGAGAACCCTTCCCGAACCCGTCCCCCTCCCGGCGTTTCACTGGCTGACTCTGGTCACATGCTGCCTGCTGCCTTCTCTGATTGGAGCGGGGGAGACGTGGGGCATGGTCTCGGCCTGCCCGTTCCACTGCGTGTGTCGGAACCTCTCGGAGGCCCTCAGCACGCTCTGCGCCGACAAGGGCCTCCTGTTTGTCCCACCGCACGTCGACCGGCGCACCGTGGAGCTGCGACTGGCCGACAACTTCATCACGGAGGTGGGCGGAATCGACTTCGTCAACATGAGCGGACTGGTGGATCTGACCCTGTCGAGGAACACCATCAACCTGATCCGACCCATGACCTTTGGTGACCTGGAGAGTCTGCGCTCGTTGCATCTGGATGGTGAGCCGAAACCGTGATCCCAATTCTGACACTACATTTCTGCGGATTTGACAATCTGGCAGAAAGAAATATTCAGTTGAATCGAGCTCACGGAAACGCTGAACCCTGAATCTTTGAGTAATCCTCACACCATTTGTGTGTCTAGGTAATCGATTGACTGTACTCGGACCCAGGGACCTCGCGGGTTTAGTCAATCTGCAACACCTGATCATCAACAACAACCAGCTGGTCAAAGTCTCCGTCGAGGCTTTTGACGACTTCCTGCTCACGCTTGAAGACCTCGACATGTCCTACAACAACCTCAGGAGGTAATCTTTCCCCTCAATTGTGATCACACAGTATATGATGCAGATAGCTGAGCGCCATCAAACCATAATGTAAACACCCTGTGTGATCTCGCAATAGTCAGCAAACACAAAAAGGAGCAACCGGCTCAACTGCTGAGTCTGGAAGGAGGGGACCAACAGCTCATGAAAGCTGAAGGCAAATCAATTGTGATGAGGTCCTGGTTTTCTTTGATTTGGTTAAGATTTTATGGGCTCATGCCTGAGCTCACTTGGTGTACTGCTTGAGCCGCTATATATGGTCCCTGGTGCACTGTGTAGCATTCTACTCACCTCCATCCATCACAATGAAGACACCAACGCATGTATTCCTCCGCACTAAACAATAAGTGAGAACAATGACATTATTCCGCACTAGGCCACGCTTCCCACCTTCAGATTCCCGCCCTGTATCTGAGAATTCAGCAGCTTCTGGCTGTCTGTTCTGATTCCCTGGCCTCCCTCCAACCTCCAGCGACCACAAGCAAAAACGCAAGGAGTTTTGATGTACAAAGGCGGCCGCTGTTTACCGTTTGTTGTGTGTTACTAAGAGGATATTCAAAGACGGAGATTCAAAGTGAGCCCGCATCACTTTCTCTTCCTCATACGAGAACCCTTCCTGTGAAGGGGAAGAGCTTCTCCAGGTGGGGAATTAAAATGTGGATTTTGGTTGGCTTCTGCAATACCCGCATCCGACTGCTTTGTATCAAAATGGGTTTGTAAGATGAGTTTGCTGGGAACCCCAGTTGAATAACAAAACGTAAGGATACCGCCGTGTTTTTGCCAGGGGTTCTCCTCTAGCAACACAATTGAAGTGTTTATAGGGCAATAATTGACCATTTCAACAAAGCATACGCGTTTTATATAATCCTGCTTCATTCGGCTCTCTCGTCTACACAAAGAACATGATTGAACAAATCAGATGCCTTTTGTTCGGTCACATACTTATGTATGTGGCCATCATTGCTTGCTAAAGCAGCCAATAATTTCCCACCACCACACAAAGCAGTATATTCTCAGCAAATTACTTTTAAATTAAAAAAAGAATGTTAAAAATGCAACTAAACATAGCAACGTAGATGTTTAGTTGCATTTTAGAAGTAACTCTGTAGCCATGACCCAAATTCCCAAAAGAAATACCCCACTTTACATTTATGCTTTGTTGCTGGTTCTAAGTTGTCAGTTTTGACCAAATCAGTGCTTCAGTAAATGCCAAAACAAAAATACTGATTCAACACAGTGACGGGTCACAGATGCAACCAGAAAAAGATTGAGGAAAAAGGAGCATCTGTTTTAGTTTGTCCTGGATGTCACCTGAAGTTAGTCTCAATCCTATTTGCTGCCGAGCAACAAGAGCGACGTGCTCAGAACACAGCCAGCAAACTTTGCCTGCAAATTGCCTTTTTATTCAATGAATCTCTAAATCCTTTTTTTATTGCTGCAGGGTGCCGTGGGTGTCTATTCAGAACATGGCCAGTCTGCACACTCTCAACCTGGACCATAACCTGATCGACCACATAGCAGAAGGAGTCTTTGGAGAGCTGTACAAGCTTGCCAGACTGGATATGACCTCCAACCGGCTCCGAACGCTGCCTCCCGATCCACTATTTGCAAGGTACCTCATCTCTCCAAACTTCATGGGAAAATCTGTGTCAGGCGACACTTGAGGGGTTCTGTAAAATCCTTGGCCAGCCCATTCGCCATCCAATCATACATGTACGGTCCCCGTGTGAGGAAACTCCTCCCCTCTGTTTTTGTGCTATTACCTTTATTTTTTTATTCCGTTACATAAAAACGAGGCAGTGGCAAAGAGGGCCACAAGGGCAAGTGGCTGCAAGGTAAATAAACAAGGCACTTACAGTTCTGCAGTGCCCACTTATTTGCTAGTGCAGTACCAGTACATTTTCAACGGATTGATGGCAAGTAATGGGGGAGGCAAAGCAAAGACTAACTTGTACAGTAATTGTCGAGTGAATATTTTGAGGCATGTTGTGAAGACCGGCGCTGTTAGATAATGATGTTTTCCAAATATGGCCTGCTGTCAAAATAGTTTACAATTATTTTTTCATTCTCTTCCCCCCCTCACAGAGATCGATGCATTCAAATTTAAATTCAAACTAGTGTATTAAGTGTGGATTTCTTCAGTTAAGATTTATTTCTTGTTGCACTGTAGAGCTTCACTTAATTTACCAATCTGTGCTTTGCATCTTTGTGTAGCCACTCTGCAGCCTTACTTCTGCTGCGTGCCTTTAGGACATTATTCAGGTTTTACAGCTATTATACAGATATACTGTATTACCGTGACAGTCTTTAGAAACCTACCTAGGAAGTCAATTTAACAGAGTCCTGTTTTTCTCCTTGATGTTGAAAGATTATTTCATTCTCAATTGTTACAGACCAGATGCAAGCATCTTAGCTTGGTTTTCTCCTTTTGAGCAGCAAGCTCTTGTTAACTTGCTAACTCTTAACTAACTAAATTCACAAACCTTTAAACTTTGCTTTAATCTCTTCCTTTTAGTTCTAAACGATTAAGTAGCAGCAAAGAAAAAAACTTGGAAGAAATGTTGATTAAAATATTACCATATTTCTGTCATTTGGATTTGGTCAACAAACTGATCGGAAAAAATATGTACAAATATGAAATTGTAAAGCTTGAGGTAAGATACACTTACAAAGTTAAACATATAATGGTTTACCTAAAAAAGTCTAAATGATCAAGTGTAGAATTTCATTTGAACCTTTCTACTTTAATCTTCAGGTCGCAGACAGGTGCAATAAGTCCCACCCCCTACAATGCTGTCATAAGCCTGAATTTTGGTGGGAACCCGCTGCACTGCAATTGTGAACTGCTATGGTTACGGCGGCTTATCCGTGGCGACGACATGGAGACGTGCGCCACCCCTCCTCACCTGGCTGCCAGGTGAACCTCATCATTTGCTCCATGTGTTGTCTGTCTAACGCACCGAGTGTTACAAGAGGCACTCTCCAATGTCAGTGCAAGCAGAACAATGGTTATAAAAGGACTAAATTAACATCATGCAATGAGGCTTTACAACCTGGTCTCAAGGCCAATCTGTCCTGCAAGCATTAGTTCTGGTCCCGTTTATAGCAGACATCAATAAAGCCTCGCATTGTGTTGATCTTGATGGATCATCACGCGGCAGGAACCAGTGATACCGTTTTTATACCTCACAGGACAGGTAGGCCCCAAAGAGACTGTGAAACAATGACGTGACATCCCTCACACTCTCCTCCTTCCTGCGTCACTCAGCCAGAACTTTCTGGTCTGACCCAGTAACTAACATAATGAAGTGAAAACAAAGGATTGAGGAGAAAAATTAGCATGTCGTTGTCATTTGTCATCGCTGTCACCATTAATTACTGTGCTTAGTCGGCTTTTGTGTTTTAGCATTAATTAACTTAACCCTAAATTTGATAGACAAGTGCACATGGATCTTTAGGTTAATGTACCACATTAATCTGCCAAGACAACCTCGGAGGGATAAAGAAAGACAGATTCCTCTACTTAGCCAAAAAGGTGATTCTCTCCCTACCTCTCCCACTCATTGCCTTCATCCCTCTTCTTCTCTCAGATATTTCTGGTTGATTCCGGAGGAGGAGTTCATCTGTGAACCACCTCTCATCACCCGTCACACTCACAAACTGTGGGTGCTAGAGGGCCAGCGAGCCACACTAAAATGCCGCGCCATTGGCGACCCCGAGCCAGTGATCCACTGGGTTTCCCCGGATGACCGCATCGTTGCAAATTCCTCCCGGACCAGCTCCTTCAGCAATGGGACCTTGGACATCTTGGTAACCGTGGCCCGGGACGACGGGGCCTACACGTGTATTGCGATAAACGCAGCGGGTGAAGCGACCGCCACTGTGGACCTGAAAATAATCCCCCTGCCTCACCGGGGCGGAGCAGGCGGGAACAACAACAATGTGAACACCAAGAACAACAGGAACGTGACCAATGGGATTTTACGGGCCGATCCGGGCTCCTCGGATATCAGCACAGGGAAAAGCGGAGGGATTAACAATGGCGCGGGACGTGGCGGAGAGGTGGAGGATGGGAGGAGAGCAGGCGACGATGACGAGGAGGGAGACAGCGGCAGGGCCTCCGAAGGGGAGCGGGCCGACGGAGGGAGCGTAGAGGACGACGAGGGGGACGAGGAGGAAGGAAGGCTGGTTGGAGTACAAAGCGTTACGTCGACCTCCGCACAGGTCAGATGGGATTTCGGGCCTTTGTCCTCTGCTTACGCCGTCTGGATGTATCAGATACAGTACAACTGCACCGCCGACGAGACCCTCATATACAGGTCAGTTCAACTCGCCTCACGCACGTTTCTCAATAGGAATGGGATGAAATCGTACTGTTAGAGTAGCAGCGACACTTCTTTCACGCCAGAAAGAATTTGTCGTCATCTCCTCTATGTCATTGTTTTTCCTTACTGAACAGGTGCACATCCTGTTTTTATGCAAAACCCCTTAAATATTTAACCATTTGAGCATGAGACTTCAGCAGTGCAACTGCTCACCATGTCCACGGCCGGGTGGATTGCTCAAGGGGAGGATGGACGGGGAGATGGATGAAGGGGAAACGGGCCGAGGGGAGTTAATAATTTATCTCCATCTCCGCGTGACACTCGAAGCCAACAGGTGGAGAGTCAGTGCACACGGGAACACACGTGGATGAACATTGTGGAGGAGGATTAAAAAAAAAAAAAAAAAAGAAAAAACGACAGTTTGTCTTGGAACATTATCACATAGTAAATAGTAGTTACATTGTAGTATATAGTGTTCTGGAGGCGGCAGCATTAATGTACACATTGATTTTTTTACTTGAAGCAATGCAAAGACGGGATTGAAGGTTAGATGCGGCAACGGCATCCCTGACATCAAATTATTCGGGAGACCATTGACCACCAGACACTGCCATTCCCTGTGTTGTAGACTAGGTTGGACTCTGTTGGCAATCTCAGCTCACTGTTTCTAAGCAGTGTCTGTGCTTTGAGCCAATTTGTAAGCAGTAGCTCCAGGCCGAGCTAAAAAAGTGTAAACAATAAAAAAGGTAGGAGGAGAGACGATTGAAAGCAAGACAAACCTGTTTGTTTTACATGTATGTAGGCTAGCATCGCGGAACTGAAAGAAAAACCAAAAGAAGGTGTAAAAACCAGTATGAACAAAACTGGTGTACTTCAAAGTACTACACCACTAAACTGTCCCAGAGATTTGCTGACATGACTCCAAAGATGAGTGTCTCTGTCCACCAGTAAAACGGATGAAATATTCATGTTTTGGGGAAGTTGCTGTAGCAAAAATGTAGCCGAAACAAAGACAGTATGAGCGACTAAGAAAGGGGAGAAGACTTCCATTACCATTATTAATTTTTTTGTGTCTACAGTAATCCAGGGTCCGATTGTAGTTAGTATAAGATAAAGATGCATTTAACTGTAAGTGGTATTGAGAAGAGGTTAAAGGGAGAAAGCCATATGACAGGAAACAGGAAAGACAGGCAGATGGAAAGTTGATATATAAATAATATGAAAAACTGTGTGCCGGTGTCATCTGAAGGATTGAGGAAGATAGCAGCCGAGGGTGAATGGCAAAAAAATAGATGGATGGGGAGGAGGAACTAATAGTCTGAGGGATGAATACAGCTAGAAGGGAGCAACGAGCCAATTTTAGGGCAGGAATGAGGCCTCAGAGATTTAAGAGGGAGGAAGAAAGAGATTTAGGGAGAAGGGGAAGATGGGAGATGGGCTCTACCCAAATCACCTTGGGAGAGATTGAGATGAAAGAAGGATGGATGTAAGGAGAGAGAATGACGGACAATGAGGGGGAGGAGCGTTGAGGGGTGAGTTTAAATGACCCTCAAGGAAAATGCAATGAAGCAAAGGTAGAGAGTAAGTATTTAAACAAATCACTAAAAACGACTAAGGGGGAAAACAGAATTCACCTGGATTTGGAAGTGGGAGGACCAGCGCAGCCAAAAAGGGATGCAGCCCTCAGAAATATGAGATAAAAAAAAAAACGGAAAGGATCCCCGGTAAAAAGGAGAGAAGAAATGGAGACGGGGCGATGTGGTTAAAGTCCAGTAGCAAGGAGGATGTGAGGTGTCAAACCAAACTTCAACATCACAACAGATTGTGTACAGTCCCATGACACATTCCTGGCAAGTACACACATAACTAATTACAAGATTGAATTGAACGGATCAAACAATATATTAGATCCCTTGGTGATCAGCTGCTTTAACTCCTCTAAGGAAAAATACTACTCAACATCGAGCACAATGATAAAAAGATAATATTGTATTGCTGTCAGTTGCAGAGCGGTTTATCATATAACCTTAAACTCACAGTGGGCCTGGTTCAATTTCTATCTTGCAAACATTAAGGCAAAACGGGCAAAAACCTTTTCAGATTGAGGCGACTTTAGGAGTAAGGAATAATGGAACGGCAGCATCGGTAGAGGAGACGTTTCAGCTGTGCAGCTCGAGACAAGAAAATGCTGATACACGCAGGGACTCCCAGAGAAGCAAAATAGAGGGGAGATAAGAGTCAATGACACGGCCGTTCACAGCGGCCTACCAGGAGAGACGCTGCAATCCAGCGGGGAGGGAGTAAGCGATCTGAAGTTCGACTAAACCCTAAACAAATCAGGGTGTCAAACGAAACAGAGGGAAGAAATATAGCCATCTCCAAGGAGAGAAGTAGCGGCTACCTTCAAGGTGAAATTGAGATATAAATTTGAGCGAGAAGAGAAAGGTTGAAAGAAGAGGCGAGAAGTCTGAGCGCTTTGAGGGAGGAAGTAAGGATATCTGTCTCGGGGGACCGATAAGAGGAAATGGAAGGGGGGTGGGAGCAGCATTTGAAAGGAAGCAGAAACACCACACGGCAGTCAGGGACTTCCAAGATAGATTTTGTTGTGCTATAGGCGTGCCAGCGCCAGCTGCAATATCAGTGAGCTAGAGAGACGGAGAGAAGAGACGGGCAACCAGAGCTTACCAATTCAAAACGGAGAGAATGGGCGGGTGGGATTTGTGTCCGTTTTGTTGTCGTAATTGTTGTTGCTGCTGCTGAATGTTTGTGAAGACGAGAAAGAAATAAAAACACGCCCCACCAGCCCAGCTGTCTTGAGCGCGGAGTGAGAGTATATCACAGAAAGGTAGAGCACGTTGGGCGGCTGCCAGAAGTAATTATCTTTAAAAAGGTCAGTCGCATGCTGTCCAACAGCAGCCACCATTTGCGCATGGCTTGTCTAATTCTACTGCCATCTGTGTGGAAGCGGCAGGTGGGATGTCGACCACGTGGCGTCCGCTCGGCGCCGCGTCACCCTCGGCTCCCCTGACACAGTCAACCGAGCCTCCGTCTCCCGGTGCTCGGCCCCAATGTTACGCTGGCGCACTTTCATTTGATCGCCGGAAAAATGTCCTTGATATCCTGCAAAAAGGCTGGCACCACGATAGCCAAGGATTTACCACAGTGGCTGGTTGAATGTGGGCAATTACGGAATTGGCCCGCGTCTCTCAGCACACACATGGGTCCAGCCTACCGCAAGGACAAAGACCAGGAGAACGAATATCCCATCATGTTAATGAGGCAGCTTTTGAGACCTCCGCTACCATCTGTTACAAAATGTGGCATCTCCTTTTCTGCAAAATTTCTAGTTTCAGCGCAGCAGCTTCTTCTCTCCGGGGCCACGCATGAAGGCGGGAGCTGGAGAGTTCAGTTATGTGGCACCACACAACACACAGACGGGGTGCACACAATCCGAAAGCCCCACCACAAACCAAAATACCGCCAGAATGAAGTAGCATGAAGAAAATAGTACCGCTCGAGGCTTTGCATCAATGATATCTCTTTAAGTGTAACTGGGTTAATCTCATGCACATTATTCACTGCACAAGATGCAGTCTGCTGCTCCCTTTTGCATTGGCAGTTGTTTGGGAGAGAAGTTGACAATACCTTATGACCCTCCCCCCCACCCTCACCCCTACCCGTACATAAGGTATCTCGGCGGCAATACCAGCCTAAAGTTCCTTATTAGGTTTAGAAGTGTTTTAGGTGTGCGGGTAGGAGTGTAAGGGGCTTTGACAATCTTCACAGCTCCTGCCTCCGTCACCACAGGCCCAACCGTCCTGCTGGGCACTCAAAGTGCCAAGTTTGAAGCCCACTGTAATGGGAAGAGAAAGGATCACAGAGACGGCGAAGGGAGGATGTTGGAGCGGGCATCAACCAGAGTTAAGAAATAATGAGAATAATGAGAGCCTTAGGAAAAGGGAGGCACAGTTCAAATATTACCTGGAAATTGGAATCGGCGTTGCAATACCAATCCTTTTCTGACGCTAATTGCGCGTCTCGTTCAGCTAATGTTTCAAACTCTGACTCCTCTGTGGTGTACTGTATGAATTGGTTTCTTCATCTGAAGAAATTCAAATATCAACAGATGCTTTGCATTTCCTTCATACTGCAAAGGGCTCTTTAAAGGACACAACACGATATTGCTGAGGAAACAAATATAAGACCCCTATTTTAGCCCCTTTATCTGCCTGGGTAAGCATTACAAGACATCATACGGGAAAGAAGATAAGTGCATCTGCTGAGGCAGGGATGGATAAGGATGTAAGTAGAGATACAACAGTGGAGCATCAGGGAGTCACGCAGAGACAAAGATGTAGAAAGAGGGAGAAAGTGAGACAGATAAGACAGAGCCAAAAATTTGGAGGTAAGTATACGGGAGAGACGAAATGGGGTTGAGAGTCCCCCCAAGGGAAGATGTAATTAAGTGTTAAACTACTGAGTCAATACAAGAGTCAACAGAAATCAGAGGCAGAAGAGGGAAGGAAAAGACAAAGGGTCAGGACTCAATGCAGAGGTCAACGGGCATTAAATGGTGAGGTCAGAGGAATTGAGGAAAGTGAGACGAGAGATTCGATCTTTGATTATGTTAGAAATGAGGCACCTGAACAAATACTGCAGGATTTGTGAGGACTTGGGAGTTAATAAAAAAATGAATAAGGCAGAGCAAGTAAATCAGGCCAAATGAGGGAGAGCCATGTGAGAAGGGTAGATTAAGGAAAGCAAAAAGACAGGAGGGATTAGACAAAATCCAGAGGGGAGGAGAGAGATTGACGGAAAGACCGATCAAGGAAAACAGAAGAGGTGGCCGATGAGACAGTAAGCAGCCCAACGAATTAAGCCCGGAAAAATGGAGAACGACCGGAAGACATGACGTGGGAGAAAAAGGAAACGAGGGCAGCATAGATGTCAGCCAGAAGGGGAGATAATTCCTTTGTTGCTCCTCCTCGTCTTTCATTCAGTCACTCTCCCCTCGGTCGCCGTTGCTCTCTGTGCCAATTCATGTCTGGTGTCGGACCACCGGACCTCTGACACGCAGAAAGAAAAAAAATATACGTATGAAATGAGACAAGGCGAGAGGGGAAGACGAGGATGAACACGCTGAGGAAACGGGGACATGATTCCAACACTCCTTTATCCCCTTGCCATCACTTTCTTCTCGCTCTCCCGGGTACTCATAATTACTTGTTTCTGTGCCACCAGCTTGAACAAAGCACTCCCTTGTCTCTCCCACTTTCTCCCTGCATCTGTGTGTGTGTGTGTGTACACACCGCAGGTTTTAACACACACATGCTGGGTTGCAGCGCACAGTGCCTGTATGTGCAAATACAGGGATTGGAATGGGAGCAACAGCCCTTCCTCTCCGATGTAAACATTTAATCAGTTCACTTTGTTCCATTGCAGTAGTCCAAGTCATAAGGGGAGCACTTTATATTCATGAATATCAGTACCAACAGCACCAAGGATTTAGGGCAATATAATTCCATGGGTCCACAACGCATGTGGCACAAAAAAAACGGTCCGCACATTTGCATGCACATGTGACAACGGGGATGTAAATATTGTTGAAAATGTATAATGCAGCGAGTGGGAGAGAATCAGCATATCAAAGATGCATGTGTTTTTCAACGGCATCTATATTTCAGCGAATATGCTGCCTGTTTCCTTTCAAAAAACAACTCGAGAGGTGATTCACGATCGCGTAAGGGAGGGAGTGGTGGTGGGGCGGGAGGAGAGGAAGAGCGGTGATGAACAGAGGGAGGGAGGGAGGGCTGGGGAACATAACATGTGGGCAGGTGACAGACAAAGGAAGCAATGAGGGAAGAGGACGGGGAGGCAGAGGAAGCCATAGAGGACATCTTGCTAAAGAGAGGAGGACGAGGAAGAATGACCTTGGATTGCTAAATAATGGTACAGGGTTGTAGCTGTGGCTAATAGAGACATAATACCACGTCTGCGGAAAGGGGAGAAACTAGGGGGTCAGGTGGAGACTGGGGAGAATAGCAGGGGGATTTGCAGCGAGCAGAGCTGATTGGCTGCAGAACTAAAGCAGAGGTAAAAGACAGAGAGAGAGAGGAGTGGAGGTGCAGAGGAAACGAAGACAACTAAATGGTGCTGAGAAAGACCTTGGAATTGCAACAGAAGGAGGAGTGCACCGACGGCAGATTGAGGTAGAGGGAGAGACTGAGGACATGGGGGGATAAGAGGGACGGACTGATCAGCGGAAAAGGTGAAATCTGCTCATAAAAGATTGCTGGATGGAGGGAAGGAGGATCAAAAGAGGACAGATAGAGGGAAGGATAGAATGAATAAAATAAGGGCTATTTAAGGGTAGCATTAAAACCAAATGTTGGTCAATATTAACATTGGGATATTCTGTGAAAAACAGATTTTTAAGATTTCCTCTATATTGCCCGTTATAGGATAGACTGCCTAGAGTGTTCAGTTGTTCAATTCATTTGGTGCAGTCTTATTCATAATGCAACCATATATCAGGGGGTCAAAAGGGAATCAGCGAGAATATTGCTTGCATGAGGCAATAGTTTCTTTCTCGACACTGAATCCAATAAAGCATTCAACATTACATCGGTGCCATCAATCAAATCAAGACACTTGGCGCTAAAAAAGACATGAGGAACGGCTGCAATGTAACCTTTGTTGCAGGAACCTCCCCACGGCGATGGCCCAGTCTCTCCACTTGGCGAGTTTGATCAATTATACACACAATGCATAAAGGCTCTGGATGAACTGACACCAGGCCCTTTTCATGAGCTTATAACACGAGTAAGGCCTTTTATTAAGAAACAGAAGTGCTGCTTCCCTGCATATTTCATGCGGGAAATCTGATTGAGGACCCCCTGTCACAGTACGAGGAGACCTTTCCAGGGGCAATCCAATATCTCCCCATGTGACTGATTGCCCAAGACAGGCTTTCATTTTGGGGTTTTCATTCCGAGATATTTAGTTTTCACGCGTTTTTCAAGAAGCATAAAGAAGCCCTGACTCAAACAATCATTTATTGCTCTGAGGTTTCGGGCCTTAAAATGTAGTCAGTGTCCATCATTTCAAGAGGCTTTTTGAAGAGAAAGAGTTCTTTAAGTCAAGACATGAATTGAAGGAGACATTCAACTCTTTTTAAGTATGGTTAGAAGGGATAGCAGCTTTCCCAGCCGCGGCATTATTGTAGTTTGTACTATGGGTAAGAGTTTGCTGTGCTTCAGCGAGACGGTTTTTCAATGTTGAAGTTCCTTATCAAATCACACTGCTGGAAATCTGGAGTTGGGAGGTATTTCGGTGCCAGTGCTTGTTATCCAAATCATTCGTTTTTGCAAAAGCAGCAGGACTGAGCTCCCGACACAATGGTCTTTGCAAAGGAGAGACAAATCCTTTTTAATCCAAAATCGTACCTGTGCACTAATTTAGATTCTGGGGATTTGTTTAGAAAATCTGAATTTTATTCCCGTTTGAGCCTCGGGGAGGCCGTGAGAATCAATATTGCTACTTTACTGTAACGTAACCCAAATCAATGGGTCTGCATAGGATTGCCTTGGGATCTTTGCCTCCCTTGTTTCTTCAATAATTTAATCTTAATAAAATACACCTAATACCATTGTTTCTTCAACATTACTTGGTTAGCAGACAGCAGCTACAATTCAATTGCATCCAATTTAAAAAAACACCAGTAGGGCAAGTTGTTGGTCTCTTTATTTCATGCAAATTTAAATGAGATTACGGTTAGGGACCTTCTGTGGCGGCTTCCCGGTGTCTGAGTCACACTGGATGGCATTTATAGGATGTAGCCCAAGACTAAAGGGAGCTGGAACGGTTAGCAACAGCCGATACAAATAAGCCCTTTGATGAGCGAGGAGAGGGAAGGGGGGAAATAAACGGAGGAACAACAACAACTAAAATCACTGACAAAATATTCATGGCAGCAGCACAAAAATGAAGCAACACATACACACACACACACACCCACACACACACACACACACACACACACACTTGGACGGCAGAGGGCAAAGTCATACTCATATTGTGTCACACACACACACACACACCTTCTCAGGTCACGTACAAAAAGACACTGACAAGAAAACACACCAATTTCTATTCCATCGTGTCCTAAATACAAACACGTGCACACACTGCAGCGAGCGCATACGAGTAAAAAAATAAGAATCCCCCCCACCCCCCCCAGTCACTCTGGGTTCACCTCTCCCCTGTTAGTTCGCTGGAACACTTCAAATGAGGACATTTTCAAAGCACTCCACTCTTTATTATCCCACGCGAGCGCGCACTCATTACAGACGCCACGCAGGAACACATTCGCAGTCAAATGCTACAAATCCTGCCCTCACTTGTGATTTTAAACACGTCGACACAGTAGTGTCTATTCAAAACCCCAAAATGTCCCAGCTTCACTATAATCATAGCCCTAAACAACAACATAATGTTTTTTCATCTAAATATGCATATTTCTTCTAGACGTAAGGTCCCACAAAATGGCTCGACATTTGCTTCTTGCAGTGATTCAAGTATGCACACCCGCGGGTGCGCGCGCACACACACGCACACCCCTGCACTCGGAATGAGAAGACTGTTCTCTTTTCATGTTCCCTGGGCACGCTCTCCATCAATAGCCTCATTTTCCCTCCTCTCCCCTTCCTGCAGTATCCTCTCTTGCGCCATTTCTAGTCATCCTTTCACCCCCCCCCTTCCTCTGCTACAACCCCTTCTCCTTAGTTCTGCAGTCTATAATGTAATTATAATGTAATTTTGCTACACAAACGTCTTATTTAACTGACCACTACTTTTATGTCTCTTATCCTCCTTTAGGATTCTACCGTCGACCAGTGACCACTTCCTGTTGAAGAACTTGGTCTCCGGCGCGGACTATAACCTGTGTGTGCTGGCCATTTTTGATGACACAATCACATCATTAGCGGCAACAAAAGTCCTGGGCTGCGCCACGTTCTCCACCAAGGATGTTTACCCAGCATGCCGCTCTCTCCAAGCCCACTTCCTGGGTGGCACACTCACCATATTGGTAGGCGGCGTTGTTGTTGTCACCCTACTCGTGTTCACTGTGGCGCTCATGGTTCGCCACCGTGTTTGCAACCATGGCGACCACATGATATGTCACAACAGCAACACCGAGGCGGGAGGCGGGGCCTGCTGCCAGGGTGGAGGGGGCGGGGACAAAGGCGGAAGCAGCAGCGGGTGCTACCAATCAAATGGTGCTGGGGACGTGATGATGGTGGTCCTGCCCAACGGCCTCCAGTCAAAGAGAGGAGGTGAGAAGGAAATGAAGATGGTCAAAGACAATGAGAAGGACGAAGCTGATCCCGCTTCCTCACTGCCCCCAAAACTCCCTCCAAGGCCCAGGCCCAAGCCTAAAGTCAACCTGGAGCAGTTTCTTTCCGCCGGGGGGGTTGTTTCCACAAAAACAGGGGAGGGATGCGAGATGGCTTTGGTGGTGAGGCAGAGAAAGTTGGAGAAGACGTTGCCGCACACAGAAAGTGACAGAACTCCCCTCTACTACTCCCCTTCGTCCACCCTACCCCGTCAGTCCCACTCCAGGCAGCGCCCAAGAACCCGCCTGGAGCGAGAACTGACCAATCGCGCCAGTTTCTCTCTGGCGGCACCCCTGGGTGACTCGGAGCTGTTGGACTGGAGAATCACTCCCCAAGGCAGGGACCAATGGAACTCCTCACAGGCCTACCAGAGCCCTCTGTCCCCTCTGAGCCCCACCCGCGGGACCGTCACCAAGCGGCGGCACTCGCTGGACATGGGCTCCTCTGTCGCCCTGGCAACCGACGCAGCCACGACGGTTGCCAAGCGATACGGTGCGGTCAACTACGCCAAGCGGCTGAGCGTGATCTGGACGAGGCGGAGCCAGTCCCTCCACGGCATGCTGGTGCAGTGCGCCTCCACGACGAGCACAACCTCTTCAACGGCAAGCGACGACGAGGGCGCCGGGGTCTTTGGGGCGCGCTGCGAGTTCCAACGGGGATACATCCACGCCTATAACACCACCAACTCCAACTCCAACGCCGGGATCAATGGCGGCAAAGCGGGCAGCGTCAAGGACCGGGGGAAGCAAACAGGAAAGGACGGAAGGAGTGGTGAAGAACTGGAGGAAAGCATTGTGTAGGCAGTTGTGGAATGTGACAAAAGGAAGTGAAGTTACGAGGGATGAAGTCTGAATGGGATCGTGATTTGGAGGAGGGCAAAGAGGTGGAAACATGGGCGAAATGGTGGGGCCTGGACAGGTAAGAGGACGTGAGAGCCAACAAGGATTGGGAGGGTTGGGAGTTTAGGCGAAGTCTCACTTTTGCAGCCTCTTGATTTTCTTCAGAAAGTGTAGCTGGAGTTCAGGTGAAGACTTTTCAAGAGGTTATTTTAAGCTGATCTGAGGATTGATGGGTGAGGAAGATAAGTGGGAAGACAGACTTGACAAGAAAAACGGGAGCAGCCGAACGTCTGAGCGTTTCAAAATGGTCTTTTAATACTAAAGGCTGAGCTCAAGCTGTATCATTAAAAATGAAGTGATACAAGATAGAAAAGAAAGCGGGAACACAAAAACAACGCAGGGAAATCTACACAAAGAGCGACAGATGTAAGAACAGACAATGTCAGTGGTATATATAGTCCGAGGGAGAGGCATAGTCAAACAGAAGAAGACATCAATGGAGCAACAGAACAAAGGTTACACACAGCGGCGGAGATGGCGTGAGCTCAGAGTGGATCCCAGTCAAGACTTTACACTAATAGAAACATACTACTGCTAACACTTCCACTCTGCAGGGTCTCAACCTGCTAATCAACACGGGAACAAAAGACAGCACCACAACCAGGTAGAAGGGAAAACCCTCCCCTCGGACTGCGCAACAACAAGAGAGATTTGGAAAGCATCGGCGTGCTTTGTCATGTTGATTTCTTTTCTCTCCAACACTGACGGCCATTTTGAAACTCCTTTCCAAAACCCAATGATTGTGACTTTTATGTGTCCTCTGTTGCTGGGCAATGATTTTTGGCTTGCCGTGCCTGCGGATTATGGAAGCATAAATACAGAGCCGGGGTGTATTGGACATGATCAATCGATACTGGCTGGAAAAAGCGCGTGCATCACAGGCGTTATAAAAAGACAGACATTGGGATTACAATGGAGTCAATATGGATTACAAAGTGGAGGAGACCGGGGTGCATGATGGGACATGTGCTCGTTTGCATTTGTGAAAGACAAGATTGTACTGGATGTCGGATAATAATGGACCATGAACAAATGGACAAAGCTAACGGATGCACCAGTATGCATGCATTGACATCAGGGTGTGCGTATGAGAGCCTGTGTGTGTGTGTGTGTGTGTGTGTGTGTGTGTGTGTGTGTGTGTGTGTGTGTGTGTGTGTGTGTGTGTGTGTGTGTGTGTGTGTGTGTGTGTGCGCGCACGCACGCACGCACATATATATGAATGTTTGTGAGGGGTAAATCCAGTCAAACAGACGCCATCTGTGTTTTTAAAATGTTTAGCGCTTTCTGGTGATGCTGTGAACAAAATAAATCAGTCAAAAATACATTTAAAAAAAAACATTAAAATCAGCAACAGCCCACCCAAAGTGAAGGAAGAACAGTTTTCACTCAAACGGAACAACAACAAAAAAAAACACTATTTCCAGCAATGTAGCATGGTCAGATAGCGGCAAACGTTGAAGGGGGATTTTAGACAAATTTTTTGAGACGTCCGACTCCATTGTGCCACATGGATTCACTTTAAATCCGAACAGTGAATGTTTTCAGAAAGGAAGCTGATAGAGAAAAAAAAAATAACGTCAGAAGCACCATGGAAGCCACTAATGATATAACCTTCAAGACTTTGTGAAACTCATCATGGAGGAGGCTATTTTCAGCGGCACGGACCACAGGGACTCTTCTAAATGTCTATCAAAGAGAAAATACTAAAAGAGTACATATATATATATATATAGTATATATATAAAAAACGATGTTACTTGTCGCACCATGTGTTTCTGTTTTTCAAAACGTTTTCTGGGGAATGATGTTAGGATCAAGAACAATAAAACGTGTGATGTTTTGTCTGGCATAAACTTTCCAGATTAGAGCTAAAAAGGTAAAAAAATAAAAAAATTGATTATAACAAGCCTGAAATCGATCCATTCAAGAAGCACACCAGGCACAAAAAAAACAACACAAACCGGCAAGCAGTAACAGTCAAAAGGGAAAATACATTACGAAACGCAGATGCCAATAAAACCGTGAACTACATCGTTAATAACAATGACTTTTAACCATTACTGTCGTTTCCTTTCTGTTTTGGTTTAATTTTGCCAAAGTCAATATTGTTCTCTGGACTTGATATAAATAAAAATGACATGTATGGAACCGAGATGGACTCATTAACTCAAGGGAGTAGTTGTGTATCAGGTGTCTCATGGACAAAAGCATAATGTGTGGATAAAGAGAACCGCCAGAATCAAATTATTTATCCAAGTCATTTTAGGTCCTCGCAAGTTTTGGCTGGTTTATTTGGATACGAATGAAGAAAAACGGGTTTGAATTTTGAGACAAATGTGAAGATGACTCTGTAGGGATGAAAATCCTTGGAGCTCACGGCGAAGTAGTGCGTCACGTCTGTGTGGCAGACATGAAGTTGTTTACTCGTCAGTCAGGGGAGTTGATTGCAAGGTGTGGGTGAAGTAAACCTCCTTCAGCTAATTAAAAACAGCATAAGAGACAAAAGACTCAAAGAGACAGAAGAAATAAAAGAGGAAGAAAACAGTGATGGGGTCAATAGTTCTGGGAACAGATGGAATCGCATGCGAAAGACAAAAGGCGCAAGTAAACAGAAGACTAAAAACAGAACAGATTTAATACGACACAGAACAGGCGAGAGAACTGCAGTGAACACAAACTGATTGAGAGACCAAAAAGCTGTCAGAAACTAATGGATCCTGATTGCAATGGTTTGTTATCACAGACCATAGATGCTAGTTTCTAAAGTAAAACAAAAACAGCCTTTCGCTGCTCCCCGCAGCAGAGCTAAACGCTCGCAATCTGCAACCGAACGGAGCCAATTATTAAAACATAAATGAGTAGCAGGAGACACAACGGTACATTTGAAGTCATGAACTACAGCAGGCCAAAACATCCACCCATTTAGTCATTTTCTTTTTATCCAGGTCACGCTGGCAACATGGTAGCCAACACCATCACACGCATAGTGAGGGATTCAGAGGATCGTCACAGATGGAGGAAAGGAATCAGCAGTGTGTGTTGCAGGGAGTACTTTCATTTAAATATCAGTTGTGCTTGTGAAAAACAAAGCCTTACGTCAGTGGAGACGGAGAAACGGGGGGAGAGGGGTTCTTGTTCGGTTTTCATCTTCCTCGCCTCTCGCTTGTTTGCATTTCCTAGGAGGCCCTTTGCAGGCGCTGGCCAGATCACAGCATGTGAAAGATGTGCAGAGCGAGACCGAGAGCAATGTGAGAATGCCGACTAGAGATGGACAAATAGACGAAGAGCAAAAGAGGTCGAGGAGAGAATTGAAGGAAGGTCATCGTGTTTAGCTTTCAGTGTGTGTTTGTGCGTTTGTGTTTTTGCAGCTGAGTGCACTCGCTCTGTGCGCGCACTCAGTCGGTGTTATTTTTGTCACGCAAGTACTTTGCCACAATTTATTAGCAGGAAGATACAAGATCCGGTAACCACGAGGGGATCAAATGAGACGGGGGCGGGGAGTCGGCGGGGGCACAAAAGGGTTACCGAGCTCAGACAGTGTCCTAATTGGAGGCCATCAACGGGGGACACCAGAGGAAATAAAGAACAGAGACGAGGGAGGAAGAGTGCGTGTCCCAGGACATCAGGTTAGAGGACGATTGGATTTGAAGCACCTAAGTTTGTAGTTTTTTTTTTACTACATTTGCCTTTGAGAATGGAAGTCTGTGTGTGTGCACTTGTGCGTGACGGGCAGAAAACAGTGCACCAAGAACACTGCTGTCTCCCCCTCCCCTTCCCTCCCCCCCACCGCTGCTCACTCTGCGTCTCTCACCGCTGAAGGCAAAATCCTGGCCCAATTTGACTAATTAAAAAAAATAAATGCTGAGTAACACACATAAACCCACCTTAGAAAACAGGCACCAGGAGGCGCTTGTGGCAGCGACGTGTGTGCCCTGAGGGGACGGGGGGGGGGGGCCACGGCGCGCGGTAGTCAGACTTGCTCTGACATTTGGCGTTATATTCAAGGGATGAGGAACTTCCCTGACGCCGGGCGGAGGCACCTGAGGCATCTGTGGCATAAAGGCCTTCCCCGCCGCTCCTCTGAAAACCAACTGGACACGCTCTTGAGCTTGAGAGCGTGTGCCGAGGAGGGTCACCCCTGTTAAGATTACAAAATCGATGACATTCATGGCAACGCGCAGCAGCGTCGCAAATGCGGTGAGAGAAATGAGTCGAGCTCTTGACTCTTAACCCTAACCCAGCAATCTACATAAAAAATACAAAAGCAGCTGAAAAGTCTAAGGTCATCCCGGAGTTCTTTTAAAACATGACTCAACATGTTACGACTTGGCCGAGGCACAAACTGATTTAATAAGTCAAGACGTGGTAACACACAGGGACAAGGCTTTGCTGAGAGGAGACAAGACTATTACTGTAAAGAAATAATCAGACATCAAAAGACTATTTTTTATGAATTAATGTGAAAATATGCTTGAAAAAAAGATTCAACTAAAATGTTTAATGCCCCGTCATCCCACGAGAATAAATTAAGCTTTCATTTGAATATTGATTTAATTAATATTAGCATGGTAACTTAATTAGGGCCGGGCCACAGGGACATTTTCTCTCACAATACGGATTGTTTCATATCTCAATAACAATACGTATCAAGGATGTTTTCTCGGTATTCATGAATAAATAGCCTAAACAATTATTATTTTTTTTTGTAAATTTTTTGTGAGACTAAACCTGAGACCAGATCTGTTGCCTTCGACTCCCTCGTGCAAAATGCTTGGGGAATTTTAAGGAACGGATCAGAAATGTGATGCTATGAGTTAGCGTTTTGCATTTAGAGTGATTACAGCCCCTCCAAAGACTGAGTGCGAATCACTATGCTTCACATCTGAATCGCCGCTTCAACCATAATCGTCAGAGCGATTTTATGAATATGAAGCGAGTGTGATGGAGCGAAATTGCTATTGTTAAATTAACAGCAACAAATGATATAAAAAACTTAAGTGATTTTATTCTTTCACTTCAGTAAAATATAATGAAGCTATTTCACATCTGACCTTCTGTGCTACTTCTTTTACCATTAGGTGCCAGTCGTCTGGCTGGGAGGAGATTACAGCTACGCTGTCGATTTAAATTTGCTGGAACCCCAAAGACGTATTTTTCAGATTGTATCCGTGTGATCCGATATAATTCCAACAGTTTGAACGTCAGTTTTTTTGGTAGGAGTTGACAGCTCTGATTTCCATGTATGAGCTAATGAAGTAGAGCTGCATGATGCTCTATTTCTGGATATTATCATGTTAATGGTGGCATTTTGACTGGGTACAAATCTTGGAACACGTAGATCCACGACTACCAGGGCACTTTTCTGTCAGCAATTGTTGTTAACCATGCATAGGTGAAACGAGGCTGGAGTGATGACTGCACAGCTAATGAGAAATATGTATTCGCCTGTGTGACAATGCCAGTCTATGAGAGACCGTTACCTTGCTATCAAATCTATGTGCTAATTCGAAGCAACGTTAATTGAAAGACGTGCACAAGCCGCTCGTCTCCCTCAACACTGGTTCTTATCCCATGATGGCAGGGACACTCGAACCCGACGACTCAGCATAGCGTGGAGACGACGTAGAGGAAGCGGACTGAAAGATAAGGAGATAGAGAGGCTGTAGATTAAGAGATTGATTGGATATACAAAAGGAGGAGAACCGGAGCTCAACGACAGCAGAAGGGAGGGAAATCATCATTTCATAACTGGCCTCTTATCTTTAGCCAATTTTGTTGGGTCCCGAGAAATGCTGACAGACATTGGTAGAAAGGAAGCCTGCGCTCAATTAGTGTAAAATTGAGAGCCTCCTGTTAGTGTGCTCAGTTTTTATAAACTGCAGCCATACTGGAGACACAGTGTCTGTGCGGGTTTAACTACCTCCAGGGGGCCGAGGTCATTTGATGGCGACCTGCTAGTCAAAGTACCTTGAAAAGGGGAATAGATGTGAAAAGAAAATTGATGACGATTAAAGCTGACAAAGAGGGAACATGGAGGAGAAACAACAGTTAAACTGAGTCTCCTTAATGCATCGTATCCTCCTCATTCGACACCCCTCCATGACCGCAACATTTTGTCTTTTGGCTCTTTACTACTTCCATTCAGCTCTTTAGACGGTAAAT